CCGAGTTTTATTGTGGAAGCAGTTATCTACGATATCACAAGACGCCCATGGGCCACATTGCTCACCTGAACACAATGGCTAGTAAAAAGCCGAAATAAATAAGTATTCAAAAGTTTACGGATTGACAAACTTAATTTTACACTACCTTAGGATGCTCTTATATCAATTTTACGAGTCATGACTTTCCTGTTCTTGTGCAGAAGAATTAAAAAAAAAATCCTATGTATTCCTATTTAAAAAATTCTGATCGCTCATTGTGGCGCCACTCTACCCATCCTAAATGTGAACAAATTTGAATCTACACTACCTGAGGATGCTTCTATAATAATATGACTAATTATGGCTTTGCTGTTCTTGAGTAGAAGATTTTTTTTCAAAATGGTTCCTATATATTCTTATGTAAAACTTTGACCCTCTGTTGTGCCTTCCCTCCCCCCCCCCACGGGGGCGGGGGGGGGGGGGGCGGGCGGGCTCATACTTAAACAAACTTGATTCTACAATACCTAAGGTTGCTTCTGTCTAAATATGACTAATAATGGCTTAGTTGTTCTTGAGAAGAAGATTTTTAAAGATATTTCCTATGTAACTTGTATGATCAGGTTCTTAAAACAGGTTGGAGGGAAACTTAAATTCCGCTATAATAGTGGTATACCACTATTATAGTGAGATTCCGCTATATTTTCAGCCGTAGTTGTCCTCGATTTCATCAAATAAAATACTTGCTGTTTAAAGCGCAAGTTATGATGGGAATAAAAATGAACAATAATTGGCATCCTTACATATTATGAATTTTATTTAATTTTCTGCCGATGCGTTTGATAATGCGAACACACTTTTTAAAGCGGAAGTTACATTTTTAACATAGCAACCAGTGATTGCGGTAATATTGAACAAAGACTGACTCTTAATATCTCTCTCACATGTGCAAAAATTAATGCTTGTAATAACTTTCAACCCATTTTGGAATAGGTTTGTCGATTTTACAGACGAAAAGATGATTTTTGCTTGCATGGTGACGTGTACGGAGGCCCGTTATGACAAACGAAAAAAAGCTCATTACATGTTTACTTTATTCTGATGAAACCGATTTGTATAGTTTTTGCAATAAATCGTTAACAATGATATAAGATGTCATTTCTGCAGGTAATTACCAATACATTATATGACATTAGTTTCCGGAATGTTAAACAAATTTTTTTGAAATATTAATTTTTGTATTATGACAAGTAAAGTTAGATTAAAAAAGAAAAATCTTTTTAAAAACTATTTCAAAAATTATATATATGAGCGGTTTTTGTTGGGAATATTTGGCGTAATTTCTCAGAAGAAACATTGGTGCTTAATACATGTATTATGATTAAACCACGAAATGGCGAGACATAAATTAATTAAATGTTCATTTAGTTATGATATAGCTGCAGTTTCCAAAAATAGAAGTATGTTGAAAATTATTAATAAAAGACACCAGGGAGTATGACAAATCTGCTTCTTTCCTTAAATATTTTACTAGAGAAAGAGATTGATGACAAACTGATAACTAAACTTACATGGTACATGTGATAACTACTTTTTCTATCGTCAACTTCCCTTATTATGTAGCAATATTCCATAGTACCTGCATATGGGATTAATGTCTTAAATTATTAATTGATTCGATACACATTACGAACAACAAAGGGTCTCGGTTTTAAGAGGGTCTTCCGCCTATTCTACCCTCCCTTTTTTTAAAATCACAAATCCACCTATTCCCGCTTGCAAATAACAAAATGAGTTGAACGTTCATTTGTGTTTATAACAATTATGTTAATTACATCCCAACTTAGATATACCTGTGTTTTGTAGAATTTAATACACTTTAAGACAGAAAAATACAATAAATAAATCGATGAAAATGCAATGATTGATTTCAATTAATTTTGTACATTTTCTGACAGAAAATAAATAAATAGATGTAAGAAAAATATGATGTAATTCACTCAAATTTTTGCACTTTAAGACAGAAAATAAATTAAATGGGTTCAATTTTTTTTCAATTTGCTTGAAATACTGTACGAAATATGAAGATAACAAACAGTAATTAATCTCAAAAGTCCATTGAAACAAGGCAAATTTTAAACAGAGCAAACACGAACCTCTAAAAAAACATCAAAGATGGGATTAGATGTCATGGAGGAGTGAGCATCCCCTGCCGACAAGTGTGTTCCTTGTCGTGATAGGAAAAAAAAAAAAACGAAAAAATAACCGTACGCGAAAACAATTCAATGTGTATATAATGGCTTCTTTGTAGTTAAAAAAGCGGGCTTAATATTTTAGCGGCTGTGGCGAGACAACGATGCACTAATTCATGATAACTATTAATAAATGAATTTTGCAAAGTCCATGCTCGACAGGGGATGCGTACTCCTCCATAGCACCTTATCCTGCCTATTTGCTCTGCAAAAAAATTATTGCTCAAATGGCCTTTTTTCGTTATCTTCATATTTCTGTTTCTCCTTGTATTTCGTTTATTTACAACAGAATAATCTACTTCTGGTAAATAGGATTTCATTGTTTCTTTTCCAGTGCATATCGTAGTTAAATATAAAATTTCATGCAAGTTAGAGAATCAATAAATCGTGCAGAATTTACTTTACGTCACGTCTACAGGTAATTCCATGCAAAGTGTAATTCTTCTTTCCTTGCTAAGAATAATCATTTGAATTCATGGATTCATCATCAAGAAAGGAAACATTATACACAAACTTAAGATTACTTCGAAAAGTGACATATTATATATATTGCTTACAATTTAGACGACACAAATCGGTTCCATTAAATTGTACATGTGCTGAGCTTTTTTTTTTTTTCATTTGTCATAACGGGCCTCCGTACGCGTTACCAATTAAATAAAATTCATAATATGTAAGGATGCCAATTATTGTTCATTTTTATTCCCATCATAACTTGCGCTTTAAACAGCAAGTATGTTATTTGATGAAATCGAGGACAACTACGGCTGAAAATATAGCGGAATCTCACTATAATAGTGGTATACCACTATTATAGCGGAATTAACGTTTCCCTCCAACCTGTACAAGGGATATACAGTGTAGGTTTCCCTTTTACTCTGCCTTAGTTAATGATTGGAATGATTATTAAGACTGCTCTCTCTGAGGGTAAATAACACAGTATTAAAAGTTTTCTCTTATCTCGAGACGGGGACTGGGTAAGGTACTACTTGCACACTGTTTCTCCCCTAGGTTCCTATTGAAGATAAAAACCAAGTGTCTCAATCTTCTTCAGATTTACTACACCAAGAACATAACAGCAATTCCTTAGGATACTTACCACTGGTGCTTATAACTTTTATTTTTCTCTTACCCTTTACTTCTTTATTGCTAATTCAACAGCCAATGTCTTCAACTAGCTTGTAAATGCCTGACTTTGTCAAATTATTAGGCATTGCCGTATATACCCTTCGGCTAGTCCATTCCAAGGGTTGTCAGGTCAATCCATTATTTGAAGTCTTAATTGAATTTTACGCAAATACCCCTTAACCATCACACCAAAACATTCTTATGTAAAACTTTAACCCACTGTTGTGGCCCCGCTCTACCCCCGGGAGTCATGATTTGCACAAACTTGAACTTATACTACCTGAGGATACTTCTATATTAATATGACTAATAATGGCTCAACTGATCTTGAGAAGAAGATGTTTAAAGATATATCCTATATATTTTATGGTAAACTTTGATTCCCTGTTGTGGCCCTGCCCTACCCCCAGAGTTCATGATTGGAACAGACTTGAATCTACACTACCTGAGGATACCACTATAATAAAATGACTAATCATAGCTTTGCTGTTCTCCAGAAGAAGATTTTAAGTCATTTCCCATACATAACTGTGTAAAAATTCGACCCCCTCTTGTGGACCCTTCCTATCCCCGGGGGCTACGATATGAACGAACTTGAATCCATAGTATATAATGAAGCTTTCACCAAAGTTTCATCTTTTCTTGCCCAGTTGTTCTTGAGAAGGTTTTTAACAGAGGCCAACATTTTCATGAATTCTTAATTATCTCCTTTTGAAATAGGGCGTGGCAATTCATGTGAACAAACTTAAATCCTCTTTATCCAAAGATGCTTTGTGGCAAGTTCGTAGAAAATTGGCCCAGTGGTTCTTGACAAGAAGTCGAAAAGTTTACAGACGACAGACGGACGCCGGACACTCTTTGATCAGAAAAGCTCACTTGAGCCTTTGGCACAGGTGAGCTGAAAAGCCTAGTTTTTAATTTATCATGAGGAGTGATTATATAAAGTGCAGAAAAGTCATATGTTTTGATGTTACTGACTTTTGAAAAAAAAAAAATTGCGTTTTTGAGACCTACGATTTATACCACTTCTAAATGATGCGAATACACTGCGGGGTAGGGTATCCCAATGTACAAAAGCATATTTACATTACACAAGCAGGCATAAGGAATAAGTTCAAATAAGAGTTGTTTGAGAGAGTTATCAATACATAATTATTTTAATCATTGTTTTGAAATGGATTAACAACCAGAACATTATTACTCTCTGATGACAAGATATTATTTCAGTTATCTCAAAAAGAATTCCAGGGACTTTTTTTCTGTCAAAAATTTAAAAAACAATGTACAATGTCAAATCAAACAACAAAACATAAGTTTATTTGTATCAGAATATTCTTAATTGTTTTTAATAATGATATAAATCATTTTTCATATTTTTATTAATGATTTCATGAATGAATCATACATTGGGCATAAGATACTGAGATTTAGTCCTGCTGAAATAAGTACAGAGTAAAAGCAATATATGATGCATTTTGGTTGGCAAATAAAGTTTGGAGAAGTTGACAAGCTTACAGATATTGAAAATGTCATTCATTTGCATAATCTAATGATTTTCTTAAGGTGCTTTCCTATTCGAAATATGTATTTCTTTTTTCACAATTTATTGAAAACATATATATAAAATGATTAGTAGATTGGAGATAAATCTTGTTTTAATTATATTTCACTAGTAGAAGTGCTCAATGTTTCGACTGCATGTCTGAAAAAAATTGATTTTTAACTGCATTAAAATTTTACTTAACATAATGTTACATTTATATACACATGTATCCGGTAGTCTATACTTACTCTGTTCATACATTAATTAAAAAAATCTACAAAATCTTACAATAATTTTTTCTGAAATAAAGACCTACAATCTTAGGGATTTGACTCGTTCCCTTTTCATTTTTCTTTAAAAAGTACATTGTAACACGCATTTAAAACGGACAAGCAGAGTGAAAATACTAGCCTTACAAGTTGTTTAAACAGTCTTCTGGTTCAATCAGTAAGACCTTAATTGAGTCCCATTTATATGATAGGCCGAAACTCTCTCATTAGGTACATCTAACAGAGGCGTCCTCACCATGCGCACAATTATGAGTTCCCATTCCGCTATGACTGCACGAGAAAATAGAGTTTTCAGATCCGGAGCAAGCAACGTCATCTAACCAGATCGTCCCGGAGCCTGGACCAAAATGAGCACTACCATAGGCTGTGTACCTGTAATGTGTAAAATAGTTTCATATGTAAAAGAAAGTGCCGTGACAAAAAGTCAATAGAAGCGTTGACTCAATTAAACCTTACATATAACGCTCACGGTAGCCTAGAGGTAGAATCAATTCAATTCGTGATCTGCAGGCCCGGGTTCGATTCTCGCTCGCAGCGCCGCGTCAAACCTAAACATAAGTAGTGACTTCCTTCGCGAACCACCTGACATTAGAAGTGAAAGTCACGGATCTTTCGAATCATACCTTAAAAACCGATGTCCCGTGTCATGGTAGGCGTTTGGCACGATAAAGAACCCTTACTGCTCAATGGCCCTGAGTGCTGAGTATGTCTAAATTTGAAGTCCTTCACCGGTATATGGTGACGTCTCTCTATGAGTGAAAAATTCTCGAATTGGATGTAAAACAACAATCAATCAATAAATCTTTCATAAATATTGGACATTTACAATCAGATTTAATGAAGTCAATTCTAAATAACTCCATCAAACTGAAATAACCACTTGCGCGTAAATTTCACAGGTTCCACTTTATTTTTTAATTACTGTAATGTTTATTGCAAATTCCTTAATAAATAAATATATATCATAAATGTTTAAAAAATTCCGTTAACCATCTGATGCCTGTATTGTTAAAAAATTGGGGATAAAGAATAGCAAAAGAACTGAAAGACAATACCCTGTGTAACCAAGCATTCTACAAACAACTTTAGCGTCCATACTATCCCAGGAATCATCACAAACTGTCCCCCAGGTACCAGAATACCACACTTCTACTCGACCCTCGTTCTGAGTACTCCCACCGACCAATCGCACGGGAACTAGAATGATCAAGTCATGTATGCACTTAGATAACCATTTGAAATTTATCAAACACAATTTCAAGACTTTTACATTGAATTATTCACATTTATTGCATATCATCAGTGTCAGAATTTCACATACGTATCAAGCCCTCTGATTAGGGCTATTTATATTCTAAAATTTATTTAAAAGTGAAAATAAGGATTAATAACTTTTCCTTATCAATTTAAATTATCATATAAAGATATCCTTGCTTTTCACAAAAGTGAAAATTGATAATCAATTCTATATAGTACCTAAAAAGTGTTATAAAATGTTTTAAAATGTAAGTTTAATGAAAACATGGATAGTTTTATTTTTTCCGACATTTTACCTAGTGATAAAAGTTTGTTGTTAGTCAAGTTAAGGTTGCTCTGGAATGAAGCAATATTAGCTCTGATTGACGTCACTTCCGCAGATATACGCGTCAGTCTCGTCTCGTAATCACTGGTGGCTTCAAACAAAGACGTCTCGTAATCAATGACGGCTTCAGACAAAAACGTCAGTTCATCTTGTATCTTGTCAATCTTACCTTGATATGAATAAAAAAAGCCCAATTCTAATTTATAATTAACAGGCTCTACAATTTAAATGTATTTCAAGAGGTATATAAACGTTACCTGAATTATTTATATGAGTTTGAAGTTCCTGTACTTTGTTTGTGATGTTGTAGATTTCCTCTCTTGAGCGCTCTTGTAAAATATTTGATGAGTTCAAATCCTGTTGAAGGTTTGAAATTGAAGCCTCAACTGAAGAAAGGTCAGCAGTGACTATTTTCATAGATGTTTTCAGTGCCTTTATATTTGTTTCACAGGACACATTGCTTGCATCAATAAGAAATTTCAGATCTTTAGAATCCTCAGCAGTGGAATTCATTTTCTGTTTCATTGCTGTTACTTCTTTCTTGTTTTCCACTAGAAAGGAAGACCATTCGAGGGTGAACCTTTTCATTTCAATCTTCATATTTTCTTCCCTCTCTATGACAACTGAGAGATTGTTCATCAGATCATTTATCGAGTTTTCCACTCTTGAATGATCTTGTAGAATTCTTGTTATGTGAAATGAAACATTTTCATTTGTTAGTTCATGTTCATCGACGATAGTCTGAAGGTGAGACATGTTGGACTGAATTACCATAAACTGTTGCTGCAACTGCTTCAACTTTAAGTTGCTTACGAAATTAGCCGATTTGAAGCTATCTGCTTTCTTCACACACTCATCCACTGACTGTTTTATTGAGGCGCTTGTAGAAAGCAAGAGAGAAATGCTAGCATTAGCTGATCTTTGATGCATCGTGATTTCACTGATGTTTGATTTTGATTGATTCTGTTCGTACTTCAGCAGTTCAATGTCTGACTGTAGTGTAGATACACTATGATTCAAACTCTCTATTTCCAATATACGAAGTGAGTGGTCAGATGAAAGGTTTCTCAATGCTGTTCTTATTCTGGTACTTATCTTTAATGTCTCAGACAAATTTGACTGTAAATCGTCAAATGCTCTTTTGCAGGACAATTGAGCTTGAATTCTGAAATCAGTTAAATTTCCAAAAACATTGTTTTCAAGGTTTACTAGATCTTCCTTTGTTGCATTCAATGAGTCTTTGATTGCTGAGATTTGGAACTCATAAACCACCATTTTGGATGAAATATTTTTTTGTTTATATTTGACATTTTCGAGGTCGGACATTGTTATGTTGTAATCGTTTCCTAAGGCAATTAATTTGGTCATTATTTCTTGCCCCTTTTGACCTAGGCGTCTTATATGCACTTCCAGTTGTCCATCATGCTTTTTCAGGTCCCGAATCGATATTGTTTGCAGTTTACTAAAGTTTCTCACTTCATCGACGCCTGTCAACACGTTCTGTAACTCTTTTGTGAAATGTTGCTCGGTATCATTTATTTTCTCGGTCACGTTAAGCCTAATAAATGTTGTCAGCCCAGCAAGTCCTTCTGCGGTTCTGTTTGAACTATTTAAGGTTGAGGTAACACTTACATTTAGTGTTTTAACGGATTGTTTTAGTGTATCAACTTCAGAATGAAATGCTCCCATCTCTTCAAACATTTTAACAGATGTGTTGCAAACGTCCTGAATAGTTTCACTAAGATTGCTTAGTCTATTATCCACATTATCAAGCTTTTGAAGAACGTCTTCAGGGAATAATCTAAAGGAATTTCTTGTTGTATTTGTCGATAGTGGAGCCATTTTCATGAAGATCATCTGTGTTACATCCAGTTGTGACGACAATATTTTATTTTCATTTTCAAGAGTATCAAGTTTGTGTTTCAGAAGATTAGTTTCGCTTTTGCTTTCTTCAACTGTTTTTTCTATTTTTTCTTCTAAAGAGGCAAATTTCGATGATAATTGACAACTTTCATCACCAGAGTAAGTGAAACTTTTTGATTGTTTATCTAGAGTAAATCCCTGTCGTATTAAATTTGCCTTTAAGTTATAAATTTCCCCATTGAGTTCGGCAACCCGATGTCTCAAATCCATTCCTAGATCCTCAAACTTCTTTTCTAGGTCTGAGCGAAGTTTTACGAAACCTTCCATCATAAATGGTCTGGTGAGGCTTAGCAGATGTTCCTTGAAGGCTTGGTCAAGTATATTCCAGTTATTATTAATAGATGGATGCATTTGCTGACAACTAACGAGTTTGAGGGTGAGTACATGTAACAGCCAGGTAAAGAAAAATCTGAAATAAATCTTCTCCATTCTGTGATATCGTTCACAGTGGCCGATCACAAAAAAAAAAAAAAAAAAAAAAAGAAAAGAAAAGAAAAGAAAAGCTTGTCACTCACGTTGAATTTAGCGAAATATTTATTTTTAGAGGGATTGATCAAGTGTTAGATGGGTTTATCCAGAATTTACTTACTGCATACTTTAACCTTTTGCTGATATGAAGTGCATCTTTTAAAAAAACCCATTATACTGTGAAAATTGTGGAAAGAGCTCTCGAGAAAATGGAACATTTTATTTCAAGTGCAACATTCAGAGTACCTTGCTTTAGACACTCATGTTTTACTAAGTGGAGATTTCTGATTCTGTAATTGTCACCCATCATAACTTAGCATGACTTTTAACAATGAAATGCGAAAATAACGAACAGTGATCATTCCCTAAAGTTTATTTAAACAATACAAGCTATGAGCAGGACTTCTGGAAACAGAGATTGGATCAGATGCCATGGAGGAGTAAACATTTTCTGCCGACCGCCGTATGCTCCTTGTCATAATCGGGTAAACGGAAAAAATCCGTACATAATTCAGTTTGAAAAAAATGGCCCAAAAATTTATATGACTGATCAGTAAACATTCGACTCAAGGATAGGTTGTATGTGCAAACAAGGCCATGATATCAACTATGATTATATTCTCTTTCAGTTATGAATAATTATATTTTAAAGACCACAAGTCAAAAATGTATGTAGGAATACTGCTCGCTGGAACATGAATGCTGTTGCTAGAACATTTATTTCATATATATTATGCACACATAGTTTCATTCTTCATAAATATGGTAAATTACTATCCCTTGAAATTCTTTATTGAAATATTTGTTAATTTACAAGCCTTTCAAATACTTTTTACATTTTAATGAACTAGCCCTTGAAATGCTTTTCTATTCTAACGAGTGGTAGAATGATCCGTTCTGCACGCTCCAAGTATTTTTATTAGGGATGTCAAATCGGTCAATATTTGATAATCGGTTACTTGGACAATTTCCAGATCGAGAACCCGGGTACTCGGTAAAAATGTTAAATACAAGTGTGTTAATTTTATGAGACCAGTTAAGCCCTGTTTAACTTCATCGTTTTTTTTTTTTGCTTTTTTAATGCCTATACACAAACATCGAGACCAACGAAAACAATTTTTTGTACTAAATTTATTTTTCAAAAAACTTAAAGACAACTATACTATACCAATAATTACAAATGTTTCACAGCATGTTTTGTTTAGGAAGACGATTTTGATCAAGGCAAGAGGAGGACAATGTGTAACGCAGCTTTGGAATGATTAGAAAAGCGAAAGAGAATATATCTTTAAAGACAGAGACGTATGTTGTCGAGATCGCTAGACGTATATAAATTAATACAGGTAAACTTCGTTATCTCGACATCGACGGGACCATCCGAAAATGTCGAGATATCCGAGGTGTCGAGATATCAGAGTTGAGACTTGACGTCCAAGATTTCACTGCATAACCAAACACATACACGTGTATAAACTTATTATACGTACATGACTTCAATATAGACTGTAGGTCAACTTATTTCAGCAATCCCTCTATTTTTATTAAAAATCTAAGAAATTATTTTTAAAAATCTTATTTATAAAACCTGTTCTTTCTCTTTATCGAAATCGTTCTAAATTTTTGTAGTTTTCCATTCAGCATTCGCGTGTTACTTGCTTTTTTGTCAGAACAGGATACGAAATGCGCTCTATAAACTTCGAACCGAACCGTATAAACATGATAAAGTCGACATCCGAGATACGAAAACATATGAAGTGCGTAATTATTTTTTTTTTCTTATTTCATTCAGGAAGAATGTGCATTAATATTAATTTTTTAAGAGATTTGTGTATCTAAACTAACGTAGTGATATCACAGATGCATGAATTACGGATGATTCGGTTAATCGTGTCGTAAATCGGATTATTTTCTGTTGAATGCGTTTTAACTACGAAATATTATTAGAACATCGTTTAATTCTTTAGTTTGAATTTATTCAATATGTTTATTATTCTTTGTAATTTAGTTATCTTTTTCAGTTTTAAAGGTTTCGACATAAATAAACACCTGTAAATTTAAGCAGAATCATGTAGATTTATCAGTGATATTACCCAAGCTGAACATTAAGCAATTAACGTCTCAAAGACGCCGAGGGGGGCTCTGGATTCACCTACAAACACAGTCTATAGAATTAATTAAGCAGCGTGCAGTCAAAACATGGGTGTGAAAGGTGTAAATTTTTGACGACGCCGAGATACCCGGAGCTGTCCGTGTGTGACGAGCGACCCTATCTGACAAACAGTTAGGTTCAGTGGAGCAGAAAATTGCCGATGTCGACATATACCAGGTAAATTTTGCGCTTGGGACTGTGAATATACGTCGAGATAACCAGGGTTGTCGAGATTACCGAGGTCGACATATCAGGGTTTTTGCAAATCATTTATATAGTAAATACTGCCGGGACCGCGGACGGACGTCGACATATCCCAGGTTGTCGACATATCCGATGTCGAGATACCGAAGTTTACCTGTATGTTGATTCAAAACGTACGACTTTTCAACACTTTATAAAACCATTCCCCACGATAAATTGTCCAGGCTTTTTGACATCATAGACAGCTGTTTTTTCGAGAAAAATGGAACTCGTAAATATACTTACCTTGTCATTGGTCATTTACAAAATTATTTTGTTAAAAAGCACTCTGATTGTACACACAAGTACTCTGAAGTTGATATTAAAAAGATGCTTGAGTTTCTGATTGACAATACATGTTTCTATGTAGTTTTTGGAGATCAGGTCATCCGACAATCTGTCGGAATTCCCATGGGTAAAAATTGCGCCCCCTTATTAGCAGACCTGTTTTTGCATTCATTTGAGGCAGAATTTGTTCAAAAACTTCTACATGAGAAGAAGAAAACACTTGCTGTGGCCTTCAACTCGACATTTTGATATATTGACGACATATAATCAATTAACAATAGTTACTTTCATTCATATGTGTACTCGATATATCCCAGTGAGCTTGAAATAAAAGATACCACAGATTCTGACACATCTGTTTCATATTTAGATATTTTACTAGAAAAAGACGTTAATTGTAACCTAACAACAAAGCTTTATGATAAACGTGATGACTTCAACTTTTCAATCGTCAACTTCCCTTTCTTATGTAGCAATATACCTTATCATCTGCATATGGGGTTTATGTCTCTCAGTTGATTCAATACGCAAGAACATGCTCTATGTATGATCAATTTCAATGATCAGATTTTCTTTTGGTTAGCTTTATTTGTTTCTCTATTGACTGGCACTGCCTGAAAGGAATGATTTTTGGCTTGGTGGCACTGGCAACTGTTGGAATTTGGCATCAGGACAATCTCGGACGATGTGGCCTGGTTGTCTAGAATACAAAAGAAGTACTTCTGGTGGTCAGATGCTCTGTCGGTTGTCTGAAT